GAGATGTATTAATCGAGTAATAAAGTGAATCATGTTAAATCACTGAGCAGGAAGAAGCAGTTTTTAAATGTTACTTGCCATTTTGTGGCCTCTCTGTGCTCCAGGAGTGCTTGCTGTGATTCCAGGTTATTTTTCTGCTGCGGGATAATGAAGCAGTAAATGATATGATATCCCTTTTCTGTTACTGAGACAGCCAATAAACATCCTAATCTCACTTGCTGCACTGAAGGGTAGATTTACAGCTCTGTGGTGAACATAAAACAAATGATGAGAGGATTCAAAGGCAGAGTCCTGCAGCAGACAAACGTATGTAGGAGCAAAATGCAGTTTTTGTGTGTTTTTGAAATTGGCTGTCTTGATTAATCCAGCCTGATGTGTGCCAAGCTGTTCAGCATAAACTCAGCCATATTTCCCCTTCCCCCACCTCCCCTTCTCATCCTTCATTTGTTTCTGAATGCCTTCTCACATAAAACATATAAAAGGCACAGAATTCACAGTAAAAAACATCCTTCGTAAATATGTTTTATTTCACGTGTTTCCTTGTACATTCTGATGGCAGATTTGGGCTTCATCTTGATCTTCACCGGATCTCAGACCTGAGGAAGGTGATGGTGTCCACAGTCCAGTGGTGCCATGGCCCCTACACCCATCTGCCTCCCTGGTGCCCTTGTGGTGGGAGGACACTGGAGTTTGGTCCATGGATGTGCTGGGTAGAGGTTTATGCTGGGTCTTGTGTCTGTGGTCAGTCCACCAATGTGTTTCTGAAGTGCCAAAAGATGCATCTGGGCCTTGGGCCTTGGACCATGAATGGAGAAAAATCTCTTTCTCCCCTGCTTAAGGAAAAGCATCACTTCTCAATAAGAGCTCAGCAAGGTCCTTAAATTAAATCCAGCACCAAACATTAGGAGTGTTTCCCCAGCCTCTCAAAACTTAAAAGTTTTGTGAGCATGGTTTAACAGGACATAGTCAAGCATGATTTAATGGGACATAAAATGCCTCTTACTCTGATATCCCATTGATCTAAATGACAGAACTGTAAGGTGGCTGTTTCTTTTTGCTATTGATTCACAATACTTGATATAAATCCTGCAAGTGGGTGCCAGCCTCTATTTAACTGGAGAGAGCAGGATCAGTGGGGAAGATGTAATTGTGTGACCTGCACTGATTAGTTTACAGGTGTTGGCCAGTAAGTAGTGCCTGTGCTGTACCAGTCAAGTGTTTTCATCTAGCACAGAAAGGACTGGGAGGGATCAGTTGCAGCCTGCTGAAATTTTCATAGAATCAGAGAGAGGTTTGGGTTGAAGGGACCTTAAAGCTCATCCAGTTCCAACCCCCTGCCACGGGCAGGGACACCTTCCACTAGAGCAGGTTGCTCCCAGCCCCTGTGTCCAACCTGGCCTTGAACACTGCCAGGGATGGGGCATTTTCTCCAATCAGGCCAGGTATTGCCCTTCTGTGAACTGACTTTTGTTGTGGAGCTCTGCCTTGGGTGGGTGTACAGATGAGCACCTGATACATGGGGAGGAAAAAGTGCCCGAGACAACCTTTTGGTAATGATGGAAACCTGAAAGTGAGTGAATTTAAGATGAGGTGCTGGTCATAGACCCTTTGGGTAGCTGATCACTGACACCAACAGGAATCTGTTGTCCTGGTCTCTCCTTTGTATTTTATTTACATTTAAATGTTTTTGAAATATATGGAGTGTTCCCTTGAAAGTCCAGCTCATGGACTGAGACTTGCTTGTGGGCAGACCAGGTACAGCGTGAGCTGAGCATTAGAAATAAAACCTGAGATTTTCATCCTAAAAGACGTTAGGAGCTGCCACAGAGTTTTTCCAGCCCACGCTAGAAATGGATTTGCTTTGATGTTCATTCAGGTTCTAGAAAAGCTTTGCAAAAATCTCAGCACAACATGTTTATTCCTAGAGCTTCTTGTCTCCCGTGTGCTGCTAAGCCTCCAGCTCCCCTGAGAACCTTCTGGAAGATCACATTTATCTCACTAATTGCTAATCCCCAAAGAGACCAGCCCACGGTCTGAGCTGAGGACCGTGGTTCTGCTGGAATCCAGTTCTGGCTCTGAACGTGTCCTTCTGGTAACTAGGGAGACTGGAATCCTGAAGTTAGAAGTATTTTGGCCTGGGATCTGTATTCTGCAGGTGTGGCAAGCAGCCAAATGCTTTCTCACCTGAGGGTCATGCCTGTGTGCAGAGGGGGAAGATGTCTCGGGTGTGGTTTGACAGCCTCTTGTCACTGCTCCTGCTGGGACCTGGCATTGGTGCTGGCTTTTCTGAGCTGTTCCTCTGGGTTGTGCTTGAAACACTGAAGGCAGAAGCGTCTTCAGTGTCTTCCCACCTTATACGAAAAGTACAGCCCCTTAGGTTTGAAAAGGTGCTTTGGGGTATGGGAGGGTGGGGATGGAGACTGAAGGTCTGTGAGCTTGGAGCAATGGGCACCTGGCAGCCTCGCTGCTGACTTGCTGCGAGACAGCAAATCCTCCCTCAAATGCTGTTTCAAATGCTTCTAGGAGTAAACCAGTCAAACCTCTGTGCCTCTGCCTGTAAATGCTCTGAGCGACAGGGCTGAACCACAGAGCCTGCTCAGTCCCTTTTCTATTTAAAATGCTTAGAAGAAAGAATACCAAATCACCAAACCCCCATAACTTCCATCTCGCGTGCTCATTATTCCTGGCGTTTCTAACAAGTTCTCTATTGGCCCTTCTAATTATGTTTTGAGCTCAATCATTTTTGTCCCTTGTTCTCCTCCCTGGCCCCAGGAGAGCCCAGAAGCATCAGGTGTTTTCCTGCATGAGTATCTGTTGACATGTCAGCTTGCCGGTAATGAAGAGCTGCGGTGGGGCCAGGAGGGGCGAAGTCTGATGGCAGGAGGCTGTGGACAGGGAGCATTGTTCAACCCAGCTGCTCTCTGCCAGCACCTGAAGGGAGTGTGTGTGTGGAACACTGACAAACTTGCTATTAATTTGGCTTTAAATTGCTGCCTTCTCTTCCGTGGTTGCAGCCAAAGCCACTGGAGAGCACACACATGGTGTTTATGCAAAGCCTTTGCCTCACAGCTCCTGCCTTTGGAGAATTTCCTTTGTGCATATGAACAATGTGGGTGTTTGACATGCTCGCTCCTTCCCCGACTTATCTCGTCTCCCCGTGTCTTTGTTCCCCTGTCCTCCGCAATCGGGGAAGGAGAAGGGTGATAAGAGTGGCGCGGAGCGAATGCGAATGAGCAGGAGATGAACCTCAAAGGGCTTGGTTTGGATTTTCCTCCAAACTTCTTTGATCACAAACTGAGCTCTTTATCCCCCGAAGCGTGCCTCGAGGGAAGGCTGCCCAGAGGTGTGCAGTGATTAAAGGAAATACTCCTGCTCTTCTGACCACCTTCTCTGCAGCTTAGCAGGTACCCACAGATATCAAAAGCAGGTTTTTAATCTTCGAGTCGCTTTAGTTTGACTTTCATGGCAGGATTTCAGGGTCAGTTGTCGCTTTACCCCATCATGATGCTTCACTCATTTTAAAGAGAGATTTTGCCTTTGGAAGATCCTTTTCAGCAGTTGGAATGTTCCCTTTTCTAGAGAGCTTGGCTTGCTGCAGGCAGGCAATAGTTAAATCAAGAAACACAACCATGTTTTTATCCAGAGTACTTGTTTAACCGAAGGAGATTCATAAAGAACTGTGTTTTGGTGAACATCTTTGACTCCCAAGCCTCATTTTGGAGGCTGCCGAGTGCCTGCTGTTGCCTAAGAAACACCCAGTACAATTAAGTACAGAGTTATTGTTGGGGAGTCAGTGAGCTCGAAGCCACACTGTGGTGTCGTTCCTGCTTTGGTCTTTCTTTGCTTATCTGGACAGGATTTACTTGGTAAATGCTCATTGTAATTCTGCAAACACTGCTCATGTTGCATGTCTAATCTGTCATGAGTGCAGGGAAGGAGCAGGAGCCTTCTTTTCTTCTTCCCTCACATGAATTTATTGTAGGGAGAGC